CCTGAAACAACACATGAAGATCCATGGTAAGTAGTTTATTTTCATCTGCTGAACAACAAAATCTCTTCTGTGTAAGTTAGCCACACATCACCCTTTAGTCAAATCTCTCGTCTCCACCTATAGCCGGCGTGTGGTTGAGCACAGGACACTTGGGGTGCTTCTCATTTCTTATTTGTGCATCCTCGTTTCCTTTCCTCGCTTCCTTTCCTCACGTCTCAGCTCCACCCCCTGTAGGACGCGAGGGAAGGAACCGAGGAAAAGAAACGAGGACGGAGGAATCGAATAAAAGCTTTTTTATATACATTGGAATACTTGATCACTCGAGCCATCAGCAGCGCTAAAAGGAATCTGCCCTTATGTTGTTGAAGTTTGGTCATTTAAAGGTAGCCTGGTTCAACCAGACTCTAGTACATTTCATTTTTACATAGAGTCTGGCCTCTTTCCATTGAGAAACGTTTACTTCCTTGTAGGCGGGTTCTCTGTAAAAGTTCAAAAACTATTGGATCTGCCCAGAGTCACTCAGGATCTGCCATAGCCAATCACTAACGTGTGGTCGTGACGTATGTCATGCGCCGAAACGGCTGGAAACAGCCCCTTTCACACAGCGAGTTGATCCCAGGAAATGGGAAATTGCCAGAACGCCTTCTGTGTGAACGCAAACACGACCTGGGATTGATTCTGGGATTGATCCGGGTTGCCCAGACAGCAAACTGACATTGAATCAACGTGGAAACGACGTCTCTCATGACATTTGAAACAACGTTGATTTTGCTCATCGAATTAACGTTGAACAACGTCAGACGCGGCATTCTTCAAGCTAAATGAAAATCGAAAATTGGTTTGCTTTCCTAACGTTGAAACAACGTTGATTTCAAGTTGATTTTCCGTTAGTTTTGAAAGAATGACGCGTCTGACGTTGGTTCAACGTTAATTCGATGAGCAAAACAATGTCAGTATCAACGTTGTTTAACTTGTTTCGATGTCATATTTCCACGTTGATTCAATGTCAGTTTGCTATCTGGGTGGGGACCTAGTAACATTGCCGTAATCAGTCCCGGAACGCGCGCTGTGTGAACAAAAGCCAGGACCAATGCCGTAAAAGGGTGTGTCATAGTGATGACGCTCGTGCCATCGCGCGACTCTGTTGCTCTTAGAAGAAAGTTTGTGTTCGTCATCAACAAAGAAAGGACGAACAAATACCTGCAAACTGGAGCGAAGCAGAGACCAGGAGCGCCTCACTATCCGTACTGAAGCTGAGATCGTTCACCAGCTTTGTGGAACGGTATACGCGTGTACGGTCATGCGCGTTTACATGTTTTCGACGCGTCCGTTATACGTCTCATTCCTGACGTCATGTGTCTTCCCGGGATTTTTACGGGTTGTGTGTGAACGCACTTACAGATCCCGGCAAATCACTTGCAGTGTGAATGAACCGAAATAAACAATCCCGGACAAATACTGGGTCACATTATCCTTGTATTTTCTGGAATCTCTGTGTGAAAGGAAACAGCGAGTCTGAATTGATCAGAGGATTATGTTACAAAAGGATTTCAGTCAATGAGAGCTGCAGGTATGTTAATCTAGGAACAACTATTAATTTGAAATGTATATTTGACACGAGGACAGTGATATATTCATTCAACGGTCGTATTCATTCAGCTGTGTCTAATCATTACAAATATGTGGACGCCGCTGCTGTCATTCTGATCTGCCGCAAATGCTGTACAGTGAATGATCTGTCTCTATCTGCAGATGTGTAATAAACAACAATTTTTCATATTACGTCTTATTGTTTCTTAATTACCTTAATTATGGTCTTCAAACTATGTGTTTGTACATTTTTATATGGAATTTAGTTTTTTATTAAAAACAATAACCATCTAAAACTGAAAATCAAATTATGGTCTTCAAAGTATGGGTTTTCACATTTTTATTATGACAATTATTTTTTAAAAATTACAACCAATTTGTATGATTTACAACATGTAAAACTGACACCCCAACCTCTGCATGAGTAACTACAAAGGGGCTCAAAATGTTCTTACTCATCACAAGAATCAGTAAATTTACTGTTGGGAATATGAGCTAAGTTACTGACATAACTCCTGAGTGCATATTCAACAACAGTTTAGCAGCCAGGACTCGGGGCTCCGAACACCAGGCTACCAGCATCCATCCAAAATGTCACGTCATCGTGCACGAGCTGCCCAGCCAGCACAACCTTTCTGCCCCTCCTTCACTTGGTCCTCCGTTAGTGCAACGAGGTGAGACGACAACAATCCGGCTTTAATTTCTGTATATTCGGCAGTTTCTTTTCCAACAACGGACCGAATAGCTTTTCTCACGTCTTTCTCTGCTGCCATACTGAACTCAAACTGACGCGCTACATCAACGTCATTGTTTTCAGCCACTCCCTCTATCGCTGATTGGTCCTACAAAAAAAGAGTTCTGGAAACCTAAGAATATACAGCAGTCCCAGACGTAGTACTGAAGGAAAATGAAATTGAGTGGAAGTGCGTAGCCGTAGGAGGGCGCAGCCAGGCTAATTTAAAGGGGGGGTTGACTGCTATTTTTTCTTTGCATGATTATGTTTATAGGGTGCAATATAACATGTATCCGTGGTTTTTCTTATTTCAAAAGTCTTATTTTTCATAAACTTCTCCTTTATTGCAAGCTGCGCTCTCCTCTGTCCTCGAACGAGCGGTTGACTTCCTGAGTCTATGAAACCACTCCCTCAGAAACAGGCTGTGGGCTCAGATTGGTTAGTTTCGGCCGGTATGTTGTGATTGGCTAAACTGTCGCTTACATTGTCCGGAAGGTTAACGCCCATTACCTTTACGGGCGAAACGTGCATGTCATGAGCTCCGGTCCAGATGTAAATATGTGTCGAACTGCAGTATCTGTTTGAGGCAGAATCAGACCGAGAAAACCGTGATGAACAGAGTCAAGCAGAAACTCACCACACACTGCTCTTATTAAGCATTTCTGACTAATAATTTGCTACATTTTTTAACTTTATACACGTTTGTTTTATACAATAGCATCTGACTGGCAACAATAGCAACTGACTGGCTACTAAACAGCTTGGCATTAGTTCTTGATCAAATCGAAAATGACGTCATAGAACATATGTACATGAAAAATTACATTTACAACATTGGTACTTATACAAAATTCAGGTCCATAATGTTTGTACGCGTTTGTCGTAGACACAAAATAGCATAACTAGCAGCCTAGTGGCTATAAAGCCAGCACTGGCATTTGAAAAAAAAAAAAAAAAACCCACAAGGCTACGTCGGGAATTACATGCAAATACATTTAAAATGATTAAGTCTTAGCCTACTTACAGGTTGTGGCCCAACAACTGCTGCCTCTGGTTTTAAAGTTGGAACTGCTTCATGTTTTAGTAACAGTTTCTTGTTGAATCCGGTGTTGAATTCGTGGAGATTCTGGAAGCTGTCTTCCGTAAAATGCACAGCACAGAGAGCTAAATTACGATCGGCATTTTCAGGAACGTAATCAAACATAAATTGTATCCATTGTTGACGAACTTCGAAGTACAGCGTCCGTGGGAAGCCCGAACACAGAAGACCTGACAGCTGTGTGAACACAACACACTCGATGAGCTGCATAAATATGCACATGCCTTTTTTGCATATTCCAGAGGTGATGTCTAAATAGATGTCTAGTGATGTCTAAAACCCAACTGTAGTCCGAATCGAGTCGTTTTTGTAGGCATTAAACTTCCTGATTTTTAAAAGATGATATCTCTGCTTACATTGAACTTTCAGCGCTGCAACTTTGCAGATACTGTTCATGCACCAACCGCAACATTACACACTATTTAAAATGAAAAAAGTGAAATCGCAATCAACCCCCCCTGGTTATTTAATAAATGCATAATAAATAATAATAAAGATAGGCTACACTGTTGAAATATATGAGATGTGTGGTTTATATAAACTGCAAAGGTAAAGGATGAATTAAAATGATTGTGACCGATGTGATGGGGGAGGAGAATTGATACATGCATCACATTTAGTCAATAAAACAGTTCCGCATAGGATGGACCTGTGTATCCTCGCTCATGACTCCCCAGGAAGTCTCCTCACTCCTCAATCCTTGACTCCTCATGGTGCAATTAGAGAATTGAGATGTCCTTCAAGATGGCTGAGCTCGATCGGTTTCCGGGTAATGAAGGACGGAGGAGTGAGGACCCGAGGAGGGATATTGAAAAGCACCCTTGGTTGATTGATTGATTGACATTACCTTGTTCAACCAACAGGAATGTGTAATTTGTCATTTCAGATCAATGCAAAAAACAAAACAAATTTGCTTTCTGATAGTAGGTGGCGCTCATGTAAAAAATAATAAAGCACCTAAAAATTTCTGAGAATGATGAAATGAACTAGTTAAACAGTTTAATGATACATCTTTGCTCTGTATTTTTTGTGATATGTTGCTGTTTTTTAGTTTAATTAAATGGAAATGTTTTTTAATAGTATAAAAAAGGAAAGTCACAATTATACTTTAATTGATTATTTTATTGTAATATTGGACTAATATTAAAAGACTGTACAATAAAAAATATATATAGTTTGTGTATTGATTATTTAATAAACGTTTGTTCTTTCATGTTGTTCTTATACAAAGAATCTCCACAACAGTAATTGAATGAAAAGACAGTATCAGCCAGGTAAAACAGGAACTTTCTATGCATTTTTTATTTCAAAATGCCATACTGTTGTAAGGATGGATTAGGCTGTAGGACTGCTGAATGACTAAAACATTTCTCTCAGGACCACTGACCAGGGTTTCCAAATTGTCTGATTAAAATGGCTTAATAATCCCGTCCCCCTAACTTAATCTGAATTTGAGAATAAGCCAAAAATGTATAAAGCTAAAATACACAGACCGATCAGAACGATTATTTGCCATTTTACAAGCATTGAGTGAGTCTGCAGACACCGCTCCTCTCCTCTTAATGGATTATTGACCGTTAACTGATAAGATTATAATATTGAATTGACATTAAATAAAAATAAAATTGACACGTATCTGTGACCCATTAATAAACAAACTTTTTAAAATTTATTTATCCAAGGGTTTATTTTAACATGTAAAGTGCAAACGGAACGGTCCCACTCCCAGCATACAGTAGAACAACAGAACCTTCAGATCAAATGTTCACGCACCTGCAGCATTTCTCTGACAGTGACAACAGAGAGAAACAGAGAGAATAAAATAATACAGATAAAAAACATAAAATTGGCCAACACTAAATATATATGTTTTAACTTACAAATTAAGATGACAAAAAACAAACAAACGCTGAATCCGTTTGAACAAAGCTTTCAAAAACCGGCAATTTTTTTGTTAAAAATAGTAGCCCTACACCGGACGAGTTTTGCCATTCTCATGGGCCCTGCGCTGGCAGCCTGCAGGGGGCCCTTTGGCTAGCCCTAAGTGGGCCCGGAAAGGGCCAGTGCGGGCTTGTTTGCAGAGTTACCATTGTTTATTTCTATACCAAATGTCATACACTTGCAATGAAGCTTCTAATATCCTCAGTTGTTGTTTCATATAGCGATCTGCATTGAACACATTTGTAAATTATTTTCCTTGAACCCATTGTGCGAGTTCCCTTTAATACCCCGTATATACATGTTGCTGCTGATTGGATTGCAGTTCTGACACACCCACCAAACAAGAGAAAACATAAAAAAAAAAAAAAAAAAAAAAACGTTGCACACCGGTCCGGTGCACACCGTTTCCTGGAAACATAACGTTCAACTAGGAAACCGTAGCAAAACGTTGCACACCGTTTTGAACTTGAACGTGCCCGTAGTCTATCCACAAGTTTCCTACGCCCCATGAGGCCTTGCGTCCAAAGTGGGCGCGACTTCCGGTTGGAAGTAAACAAAGCGTGATTTAACATGCTTGACACTCGTTCATTCAACAGTTGACAGTCATTCAAGTTATAACGATCCAAACTAGCTAACGATGTGGGAACACAACCTCAACGAAATTCAAAAGGGTGAAATAACACTACCTTTACCCTCCGCAGTAGTTGATTGGGAGTATTATAATAACATTATTAATAATCAATACTCATCAAGGCATGGTAACAGACAGTTGTGAGAGCTGACAAACAATTAAAATAAAAAATACACACTTAGTCATTGTGCTTTGGAGTTTATTCAAAATTATAAATGAATGTGCTGCTTGAATACATTAACTGGCACATTTGGTATTCTGTCGACACAGGCTTTGATCCTGAGTTTAGGTGTAACATTAGTGAACAGCCAAACACATGCTGATAGAGTTTATAGAATATTAAGAATTTAAACAAATGTACAAAGATTCGTCGTCTTTTGGGAGGTGATGGAAACTACAGTCGTTGGTAGGATCACTCTGATTTCGTTTTCAGCTTATGTTCAAAACAATCACGTTTAAGCCACTGAACTAGTTTAATCCGGTTATACATACAACCGCGAACAGCACATGTTGTCCATGAACTCCGTAACATCATCTCTCATAAAGATTTGCGTCTTTAGTAAAATAATTCTCCGAAAAACAGCTAGCCTCTTCGCTAACTAACACACAAAATACCATTGGAATGCTACTTCCGCCGCGTCACCGGAAGTTTCACCCACTTTATTTTTTACAGGAGCGCCCCTCGGAAACTTGTGGATAGAGAAGTGGACATTGTATGATTGCATGTTGATTGGATCATTTGATTTAGCCAACCAAACTTGTCATCAACCCATCTATGCTTATAAACTTTTACATTACTATTTAATTTCTTCCACTGCAGGTAAGACTCCAGCCTAGTAAGTTAACCAGGTCAGGTCCAGTTTAAGAGTTCTGGGAGAAAAACAGCGCTCAGGAACCAATTTCTACAGTTTAATATCCTGCTGTTTTTAAATAAATAAAGTGTAAATTGCAGGTTAACCACCACAGCCAATTAATGTGTAAATTAAAGTGCTCAGTATGTATATAGTTAAAATGTCTGTCTAAAATGCGTTAAAATAACATTTATTGTGGTTTCTTCAAAGGGTAGCATGTTTTTTTACAGTATCTAGGTGATGACGTCAGTCAAGCGTGGGCGGTAATGCACTCACTCTGTGTGTTTGGACGTCACGCCCAGCCCAGAATGGAGGGGGCTTGCTTAAAACCACTGTAAAACGTACCAACTTTTCATATTATATGCAGCATTTTGGTATTAACAACATAAAAAACTATTGTGTGCAGTTCGTTTAGTAAGCATGTTGCATTATCTTCGTGAAAAATTTAACCTGCAATTTACACTCAAAGTAGTCTTTTATACATTTCTCATTTTAACCGATCATTTTAATAAAGCTTGAACATGATTTTTTTTCCAGAAGTGTTGTTGTACACAAAACAAAAATTCACAGAAATTGTTTACCTATTTAAAAAAATGTATGCTAGGTTTTTTTATTCAATATATATATATATATTTTTATTCTGTGTGAAAATGTCATTAAATGTCAAGAACAGTGTCTTCATTTTAGAGTACACAAAATGACTGCAGCAATCCATATTACAGTAATTTAAAAAAATTATTAAAAAATATTTTTGGTGATAAAACAGTACTGTGATTATTATTAATGTTTACAGTATTTTTAAAGTTACTGAGATTAAATTTACAGTAGGCATTCTGTGAAATTAACTACAGCAACTGACTTGCTAAATGCTGCCAGCAAGTTACTGTAAATTTCACAATTCTGTTTACAGTGCAGCAATGAGTATCTCATGATCACAGCAGAGAGAGGTGAGGAGTTACAAGAACACAGAGGAAGAGTTTGATCCACCTAAATACTGCAAACAGGGTTTGTCCACTGTGTGGATCCTCATCTTCAGGCGACTTTCAATGGAGAAACTCTTCCCGCACTGATCACACGTGTGCGGCTTCTCTCCAGTGTGGATCCTCTCATGTTTTTTCAGATGTTGTGACTGACTGAATCTCTTTTCACAGTGTGAACACTTGTAAGGTTTTTCTCCAGTGTGGATCCTCTCATGTGTTTTCAGAGATGATGAGTGACTGGATCTTGTCACAGTGTGAACACTTGTAAGGTTTTTCTCCAGTGTGAATTCTCTGGTGCTGTTTTAACATGTCCGCTGTAGTAAAAGTCTTCTCACACTCAAAGCACATGTACTCTCTCACACCACCAGTATGAGTTTTCTCATGTCCATGTAAATTAGTCAGCAGTGAAAAACTCTTTCCACACACAGAACATGATTGTGGCTTCTCCTTCGTATGAACATGGAGTACGATGTCATTTAGGACATCCTCAGACCTCAGACATATGAAGACAAGGCATCATGCCTCAGACTAAAAGGCTTCAGTTATGGACAAACTGAACTGCTTTTCGCGCCTCAAACTGAAAAGCTTCGGGTCTCAGGAAAAACAATGTCAGGTGTAAGGTTTAATCAACCAAGAGTTCAGTGTTTGACGGTATAACAACCAAGCTTTATTCAGTGGCGCAGCACATAGCTAATGCAGATTTGAATGTTCGATCGCTCTGTGGTAGTATCCCTATATTACCATAATGGTCAATTTTTGTCAAATGTTTAGTCGTTGCCAAATGTTTTAGATCAAAACCTTGTCAAATGTTTAGTCGTTAAAGTAAGATTGTGTGTTTGTTTGAATCGAGATCGCGATCTTTTAATTATTAATCGTGCTGCTGCTTAAAGTGTCTCTCTCTTTTCAGGCTAGACATCATTATTAAAAAGAGTTTACATTAAATCCGATAAAACCTGTGCATTTGAGTAAAAGTATCTCAGTGTGTATTTCAGTATTTTCATACATCGAATTGTCAGTTACGCGGCATGCAGAGCCAGCATCAGTGGAATTTTTTTTTATTTTTTTATTGCAAAAACACAGTACAAGTAACACAATATACATTACAATATACAAAACAATGACATTAAAATAATACAAAACAGTTTTGCCAGGGGAAGCATAAGGGCCATCACAAAGAAAAAAAGGACCATATGTTGACAGTTTTGATTGCCTTTTTGTTGTTGGAGCCAGAAATCAGCTTAATATAATGTACAACATCGTTGAAAAAAGTACAAAGTTAGGTTTTTTAGCACTGAATTTACATTTATGAATATGAAATTTCGCCAAAAGAATTAACAAATTTATAATGAAATACGTCTTTTCTTTCCTATGACTTCTATAAAAACAAAAAAAAACAACATCCTTCCACAATAAAGCAAAATCTTTATAAACAGCATCAGTGGAATGAGTGGAACGCACTATAGAACGTGACGTCACAGTACTAGTATACTAGTAGACAGTACACAACACTGGTCGATTAAAAGCAAACTTTCTCACATTCTCTTCATTACTTTGCTGACAAATTTCTACTGGCATTTATTGCAGCGTAGTTATTTAGCATTTCAAAATGGGAGCAAACTTTTCTTGTGTTAATTGTGCACATGTTTCTGACAGTGTGGACAATTTACACAAAAAGGAGAAAGGCAAGAGGAGGAAGGCAAAAACCATCAAGACCAGCTCAAGTCAAGGTAAGTAAAAGGACCAGACATGTCAATGTAATTGGTATGTAGAATATGTAAAGTTCTGTTTTTATAGTCTTATAAATAATAATGCTTAACCATTAATTGAAAACTTTACTAGAGAATTCAGTAACATAATATGCTTGACATATAATAGAAACTACACATCTTTGATGACAGATATGTGAATGCATTTAAATAGACATTCAAATGTATTACCTCTGTATTACCTCAAATTTTATTGAATGTGAAATTGCTCACGAATTATAATTATGCTGCATGACGTTTACCCAGTTGGCCAAATTCATTGTCTGAAAATGAAGATGTTGTGCTAATCAGATGGCAAATCAATGAATTCTACATTTGCATGTATGATGCAAATGTACACACACACACACACACACACACAACTAAATGAAATTTAATGCAGGGGACTTGGTGTATGTTTTAAAATTTGAAGTATTTTTAATTTGACACTTGAGAACAGAACATTCTCGCCTATTCTCACTGACCGACAACTGAGGAAGCAGAATGCACAAATTAGACCTCTGTGAATGCTCCCAAAAACTCGCTTCATTAATTACATTAGCTGCACCAATATTAGTGTCTAATGAATATGGTTTTGGTTAATCTTTTATTAATAGTATTTCATTAAAACCATCTTTTGGTTATATCAATTCCCTCTTTAGATCAGACTTCTCAGGATGTTCCCTGTACCAGTGAGGCTGATGTCCTCAGCGTTGCAGAGGAACCTGGTCATGCTGAAGTCGATGACGAGTGGAGCGAAGACGCCTTCCAGGACTTAGTGGGAGATTTGTCGGAATGGGGTGCCGACATCCTCAACTCTTTGAGCTCTGTCTCGATTGTTGACGTCCTCCAAGCTACGATCTGTGCCACATCTGACTATAGAGTTCCAGTCCTAGATGTGGCCTCCTATAGAGCCAACGTCCGTCGAGTTCCTGTCCGAGATGTGGCAGACTGGAGTGTGGACGTCCCCCAGGTCCCAGTCAGCACCACATCAGCTCCAGGCTTGGAAATGGCTGACTGTTGTGTTGATGTCCCTCCAGTTCCAGTCTGTGCCACGTCAGACTGGGAAGATGATGTCCCCCATGCCGGACCAACAGGGGACACTGTATCTGAGAATGAGATTATCTGTAAGTTGACTGTCATGACTCCAACACAACACAATACAGACAAACTTGTGTTGTGATATTATATCTGTCTTCACTCATGTCAACTCAGGCAAACAGCAGTTTTCATGTCAACTCTTCTTATGTTTCTTTTAACAGACGTCGGTTGCTGGAGCTATGAAGTCGGCAGGAAGCTCGGTGAAGGTGGCTTTGGAAGTGTTTATGCTGGGACTCGCTTGAAAGATGGCCTTAAGGTAACACTTATTTTACTTTTTTTGCATTATCTATCAAAGTTTACTTGCACTATCGTATATTCGAATAACTCTACTTTTAAATTGTTAGACATGCTCTACTTGATTAGAATTTAAATTCATGAAACTGAACTGGTCTGTTCAAGGTTGATGGCTGAAATATGAACTGCACACACATTGTTAATAATTCTAACACAAATCCATTTTTTGTTTTGTTGATTAGGTGGCGCTGAAATTCGCTGATACCGTGGGTATTGAGTGGATCGACATTGTAAGTACTCTGTTTCTCTCAGTCAATTTTTCAATGGACAAACTGCTATTGTCAGTAGTTTAGTAGTGTTCTACATCTTTTCTCCATGTAAGATCATAAGAATTGTCTTTCTTCTAGGAGGATAATCCTGAACCCGTTCCACTGGAGATCGGTCTGCTAATTCTCGCCAACAAAGGCCCCAGGGTTCCCGAGATCATCCAGCTGCTGGACTGGGACGAAGAGCCAAATCGTTACATCATGGTTCTAGAGTTCCCTACACCCTGTGAGAGCTTGATCGAATATCTAGACCGGCACGACTACTACATCGAAGAGAACGTGGCAAAGGTCATTATGCATCAGGCAGCAGTTGCAGCTCAAACATGCTGCCAACGTGGAGTGTTGCATCGCGACATCAAGCTGGAAAACCTCCTGATCAACCCGGATACCCTGGATGTCAAATTGATTGACTTTGGATGCGGCGAAATCCTGACCGACGCGGGATACACGTCCTTTGCTGGTGTGTATTATTCCTCAGAGCTGTAATGTGGGTCTCAAAGTTAGATGACAGAAGCCGTCAAGGTCTTACAAAGTATCATGTAATGGGATCCACCATTCTGAATCAATAGCATCAAATCATTTCTTGCATGCTAATGAATACTTTTTTCTCTTTTTCCAGGCACAGAAGAGTACTGCCCCCCTGAGTATAACTTATTCGGCTTGTATCACGGGAAACCAGCGACGGTGTGGTCACTCGGGGTACTCATGTTTACACTGGTGTGTGGGGAATTTCCAACGTCAGATGACTTGGATATGCTAAATTACAACATCTGGACAAGAGATGGCGTATCACAAGGTAAGATCTTAATTTCAGCAAAGAACACTTGCAATTCTAAATCATACAAAATAGAACCAAGTAATATAATGGTTGTGTGGGTAAAGCAGTAATATTTAGCTATTTCAGCTTTAATCAAAGAGAACGAGTGTGAAGTTTAAGGTAATAATAGGACTTCTCTTCTCTTTCTTCACAGAATGCTGCCAATTACTTTGCTCTCTCCTGCAAAGACACCCATCGAAGCGGCTTAAATTGGATGTTGTCTGTCTCCACAAGTGGTTTAAGTACTTCATATATAGATTTTATGAAGAAAGATCAGAAGACCTTCTACAGAAAGACTTGCCACCCGACTGGGGAGATGATGTTCCTCCAGTTCCAGTCTGTGCCACGTCAGACTGGGAAGATGATGTCCCCCATGCCGGACCAACAGGGGACACTGTATCTGAGAATGAGATTATCTGTAAGTTGACTGTCATGACTCCAACACAACACAATACAGACAAACTTGTGTTGTGATATTATATCTGTCTTTACTCATGTCAACTCAGGCAAAAAGCAGTTTTCATGTCAACTCTTCTTATGTTTCTTTTAACAGACGTCGGTTGCTGGAGCTATGAAGTCGGCAGGAAGCTCGGTGAAGGTGGCTTTGGAAGCGTTTATGCTGGGACTCGCTTGAAAGATGGCCTTAAGGTAACACTTATTTTACTTTTTTTGCATTATCTATCAAAGTTTTCTTGCACTATCGTATATTCGAATAACTCTACTTTTAAATTGTTAGACATGCTCTACTTGATTAGAATTTAAATTCATGAAACTGAACTGGTCTGTTCAAGGTTGATGGCTGAAATATGAACTGCACACACATTGTTAATAATTCTAACACAAATCCATTTTTTGTTTTGTTGATTAGGTGGCGCTGAAATTCGCTGATACCGTGGGTATTGAGTGGATCGACATTGTAAGTACTCTGTTTCTCTCAGTCAATTTTTCAATGGACAAACTGCTATTGTCAGTAGTTTAGTAGTGTTCTACATCTTTTCTCCATGTAAGATCATAAGAATTGTCTTTCTTCTAGGAGGATAATCCTGAACCCGTTCCACTGGAGATCGGTCTGCTAATTCTCGCCAACAAAGGCCCCAGGGTTCCCGAGATCATCCAGCTGCTGGACTGGGACGAAGAGCCAAATCGTTACATCATGGTTCTAGAGTTCCCTACACCCTGTGAGAGCTTGATCGAATATCTAGACCGGCACGACTACTACATCGAAGAGAACGTGGCAAAGGTCATTATGCATCAGGCAGCAGTTGCAGCTCAAACATGCTGCCAACGTGGAGTGTTGCATCGCGACATCAAGCTGGAAAACCTCCTGATCAACCCGGATACCCTGGATGTCAAATTGATTGACTTTGGATGCGGCGAAATCCTGACCGACGCGGGATACACGTCCTTTGCTGGTGTGTTTTATTCCTCAGAGCTGTAATGTGGGTCTCAAAGTTAGATGACAGAAGCCGTCAAGGTCTTACAAAGTATCATGTAATGGGATCCACCATTCTGAATCAATAGCATCAAATCATTTCTTGCATGCTAATGAATACTTTTTTCTCTTTTTCCAGGCACAGAAGAGTACTGCCCCCCTGAGTATAACTTATTCAGCTTCTATCACGGGAAACCAGCGACGGTGTGGTCACTCGGGGTACTCATGTTTACACTGGTGTGTGGGGAATTTCCAACGTCAGATGACTTGGATATGCTAAATTACAACATCTGGACAAGAGATGGCGTATCACAAGGTAAGATCTTAATTTCAGCAAAGAACACTTGCAATTCTAAATCATACAAAATAGAACCAAGTAATATAATGGTTGTGTGGGTAAAGCAGTAATATTTAGCTATTTCAGCTTTAATCAAAGAGAACGAGTGTGAAGTTTAAGGTAATAATAGGACTTCTCTTCTCTTTCTTCACAGAATGCTGCCAATTACTTTGCTCTCTCCTGCAAAGACACCCATCGAAGCGGCTTAAATTGGATGTTGTCTGTCTCCACAAGTGGTTTAAGTACTTCATATATAGATTTTATGAAGAAAGATCAGAAGACCTTCTACAGAAAGACTTGCCACCCGACTGGGGAGATGATGTTCCTCCAGTTCCAGTCTGTGCCACGTCAGACTGGGGAGATGATTGATGTCCCCCATGCCGGACCGACGGGACACTGTATCTGAGAATGAGATTATTTGTAAGTTGACTGTCATCACAATACAGACAAACTTGTTATATCAGACAAATATTATATCTGTCTTTACTCATGTCAACTCAGGTAAAAAGCAGTTTTCATGTCAACTCTTCTTATGTTTCTTTTAACAGACGTCGGTTGCTGGAGCTATGAAGTCGGCAGGAAGCTCGGTAAGGTAATAATAGGACTTCTCTTCTCTTTCTTCACAGAATGCTGCAAATTACTTTGCTCTCTCCCGGCGTGTCATGATCTGTAGAAGAACGAAAACTAAATCATCATGATTGTCTTTCACGATAATGAAGTATTTTTTTTTTAGTGAGACACTGAAATGTCGGCAACCAAAAATATTCATGATTCAACAATAGACCCTGACACATTTAAAGGGATACACCCAAAAGTTAAAATTCACAACTAGCACTTTGGTACTTTAAAAAGTTCATAAAGAGATTGATGAGCGGTTTAGTCCAAAACTTTTCTGAAGAGACTGAATCGCTTTGAATTTAGGCTTTTATTCTGAAGATCTTTTATTTGGAATGTCACGAGGGCGAGTAAGTAATGAAAGATTTTTGGGTGAACTATCCCTTTAAGACGTGCCACCTGAGAAGCGCTATTGAAATGTCACCATATGGTCCTTGATTTTGGCCCTACAAAACTATTTCGTCCAAAACCGAAAATGAATCTCTACCACTTTACTACTTGTTACATACAGCACAATATAAACATCAAAAGATATGTAATCGCTCAGTCAGTTTCTACAGTGGAAAAACGTCAATACAAAACAGCTTGTAAACAATTTATTGAAACATCTTAGGAAAATCTTAAAAAATCTTAGGAAAATCATTAAATGTCCACAAACTCAAGAAAAAAACTGTGCGATTAAAGCTGTATCGGTATTTATAGATGTAAACCATTGTCGGTATAACGATACAAAAGTGTCCGATATAGCGCTTGATGTTTTCATTAAAATGTGCGCACTTTACCCATAGATCTTAGTTCATTTGAATTCGCCACAGAAGTAATAACATCACGGCGAGATTTAGTAAGAAAGCATTCAAATGTCTCCGTTATTAGATCTGCGTTTTGACGTGGAAACCAGGAGAAACTTGTGCAGTGAATAATGTATAGGTTTTAAGTCCACAGATCAGCAACATTTACCATGGATTTAATGTAACACTGTAACCATTAAAAGTTTGGCAGAAATAGTAAAATGCTTTCAAGTACATGTAACATGTAATTTTTCCAGCACTTCAAAACTCAAATATTATCATATTTACATGTTACTTTTAATGTGATGACCAAATCATAATTTGTTCATCCTTCAAAGGTTACCCCCATTCATTAAACTAAAAGTTTCAAGACTCACACTTATTTAAAAATATTTTTTCTTTTAATAATTTATTATTTTTTAAATCAAGGAAATTTCTTTCTTTTTGCTGTATCGAAAACGTACGAACTGCGACACAACGGTCCTATCAAACCGAACTAAATTTTGTGAACATTACATCCCTACTTATTACAGATGCTGATCTACCTCAAAGTGTCAGGGATCGGAAGACACAGACTGGTAAGTTGAACTGGTTTATTGAAACAGATGCACAATGAGGAATGGCAGGTGTGTAACGGGTTGGAGGATAATTGAAGGTATCTCAGAACAGTCTGATTCAAAGTCTCTTATCTGTGCAGGATGATAGGAATCGGTAGGCAGGCTGAAGAGGGAATCCAGAGGAACGGGAACAGGACTGAAGATGAACGATCAGGTGAAGGACTGGAATCAGGTAGGTATCAGGCCAGTAGCGTAGTGGGAGTCTGAGGTCGGATCTATCGACGAGACCAGACAATGAAGAAGTGAACGGGTGAGTCTTTTATGGTGCTGGTGAATGAGACGGGGATTGAGTGCAGGTGGTGGTGACAGGTGATGGGCTGCATCCGAAACCGCATACTTCCCTACTAAATAGTATGGGAAAAAGAGTAGGCGAGCGAAAAGTATGTACGAATCATAAATGAGTAGGCGAGAATTATCTAGGTGACGTACTAATTATCGCGAGATTTGGACGTACGCACATAGTGCGTCCGAATATGGCTACTTTCTATACAAGTCAAACAAACAAATCTATAAAGTAACTAAACATGTTATATTTCATTTGTCCCTTATTAGTGTTGATATATCGAGGAACATTTAAGTTGGATTAAAAGTGAGTTAACACATCAACCTCAGCATGTAAATGCAGTGTTGAGCAGTGTATGTTACAGGGACAGAAGAAGACGCGTGTGTTTATCCGGTGGAGAGAGGCTCATGATGCTGAATGCTGTCATGAAAGGCTTTGAGTGAGTATACTACAGAAATGGATAACAAAATCTATTAAATCTTAAGTTGTAGTTTATTTGAATTATTGTAAATTCAAGTCGAGAAATTACAACACTTTTCTGATTCTTGATTTCTGTGCATTTGCTGCCGAGCTTTTGTGGTGGAGCAGGACCTGCAAGGAAAGATGATGGCAGCATTTGTTTTAGGGATTTTACTCAAATATAAAGTTTCAAATTTTTAATAGATAAATCAAATGACATTGTGTGTTAAAATGACTGCGTTTGTATAATGTTTGTGCATCTTTGTAGGATCTGAAATGTCTGCAGACTGGTGTGAGCACTGAGGATGAGGAGCCCAGAGCTGCATCCTGGAAGTGGTGCCATGGACACCTCATGGATGAGGTGCCATCTCTCCACCTGCCCTTACGAGACCCTCCATCTCTCCACCTGCCCTTATTGCCTCAGATTGTGAAGTGCAGCGCAGCGCAGTCACAAGCTCTGGGACGAAGGCCTCTGGTGAATTCATCAGAATGGGAACCGCTGTGTTGAGACACCAGTAGGATGTGGTGTTCAGCGCCTGTAAATACATGCTTGTAGTTTGAATAAAGCTTTGTTTCATGTGTTGTTGACTTGTATATGCATTTGTTTATTGTGATGGTTACTTTTATTTGTTCTTTTACTCATTTATTCATTTTTCTTATTGTTGTCAGTATATACAATATAATTATTTAATTAATGTATGCATTAATTCATCGATTGACTGACAATTGAGATGTTTCACTCTTTTTATCAACATATGACAAAACAAATTACATTTTGCTTGTTATATTAAATTATATTTTTAGTATATAAAAAGTTATATAATTAAGTTTTGGTCAGCATTTAATATTATTTTGGGGTGGGCTAACAATGCAATTCATTCTGAGGTAATATTAATTTTTAAGGAGTGATACTTACATTTTTCGAGTATAAAATCAACAGTTTTCTCCAAAAGAAATCTTCGAGCAGCTGCCCGTCTCCTTTGTGCAGACATTACAAACGCTGAGGAAAACTGTTCTAGGTTGTGCTGTCGAGTCACTGATGTTATGAAGTGTTAGTGCACCTGTCGCTCATGTAATATAAACTTATTACATACAAGATCATGGAAAGATACCGTAACAGTCATAATGACAAAGCAGAAAACATAAAGATCATTGGTTTGTGTACATCATAATATAATATTTATACACAGGAAAAAGGAACAATAACAAGACTAAATATATTTTAATAGTTCTTCATAATACATAAAAAATGTTGTTTTGTTGTTGTTGTTATAATTCTGAGGGATGAAACGAGGTAAATTCATCCAGAAAAGGAGGAAAACTTAAAGGAAAAACTTTTTGGGTAATAAAGAAATTTTACAACATATATTCAAGAGGTGACGATTTTGGGGTTTCTTAATAAAAAAATATCGTTGTAAGAATAACACTGGGTCACATTAGTAGGGTTTAAAATATAACAACAAATCAACCTTAAATGTATTCACAAAATAAATGGGCAGCTGTTTCTTCAACAATACCACACGTTTCATCAATGTCAAGATAATTATTTATAGATAGAAGAATTAAACGTGTCGTTGTTCATTTATTTTAAGTTGTTGTGCTTGTATTATGATGATAATGCGTCGTAGTAGGACACATGATAACATCAACATGGCAGAACCCGAAACATCAGGGGCTGGGGTGGGGAATAAGATAGCATGATTCGATACAGAGAATAATACATATTGCAGGCCTATATGCAGCGGCAGACTGCCATCCCTGGCACTGTAACCATACCAGCCCACATTACCACACAGTCACACACATTCAAAGGTGAGGAAGTTAGGGGGGTTCGGGGGCATACTCCCCCGTGAAAATTTGGATTTCTCAGACCTACATGTGTGCATTTTAGGGTGTTTAAAGGTCATAAAAATGGTATAACAATAGCTTCAAAAGTATGTCAGTGGGCACTGGCAGAAGCATAAAAGATGACAGATTCTTAAATATGAGAATGAGGATAAATGTTGAAATGAATGATCCTGTTGTAACCGGCTCCGCCTCCTCTCCGCCACCAGAGGGAGCCTTCACCGGAGTATTGATCATTGGCCTTGAACTCAAATTCCCATCATGCCTCTTACCTGGGACTGATTGCGCCACACACCTGCACCGCATTTACACACACACATAAAAGCCACCTTCACACACACATCACTGTGAAGTCTTGATTTGCCCCGATGATCATTTCTGAGCTGTTATTCCTGTTTCTGGTTTTGACTTTGGACTGTTTGACTATTCTACGAGTGATATCTGCCTGGCCTGATCTTGGACTGTCTTCGGATTGTGTTTATTGCTGCCTGCCCCGAACTCTGCCTGTTATCTGGATTATCCCTTTGCTCTGCCTGCATTGCTCTGTCTGCCTCGTTTTGACCCTGCCTGTACGACACTGTTTAATAAAGCTGGAAATGGATTCTTCTGTGTTCCGTGAGTCATTACAGATCCACGCTTGGATGCAAATGCAGAATGTTTCTGCTTATTGTTGACAATACACAATCCATATTCCTAACAGGAATGGCCTTAATGAGAAATCTTTCAAGGATTATTTTGCATAGCCTAGATGAATTTCAATCAAACACCAGTGCAATCTTTTTGTGTCAAGGCGAAAATGAAAAAAATTATATATTAGCATTAAAGATTGGTTTCAGCAACTTGTTTCTTTCTAAGGTTAGATAATCAATTTTTTTGGCACTAATCTGTTAAATTAAAGTTAAATTGTTCACTCATAAAGACGCCACCTACTGACTTACTTAATAATGCAAGTTGGGCAAACACAGACAAGCAGAGTGATAAATTGTGAAAAGGCTGATACTGGTGAAATATTTGAACACATTCGAGGACCATACAAATGTATATACTTAAAAATGTTATACTAAATATATATTTATAAATATATTCTAAATATATATTTATACTAATGAATTGAGCTTATAGTTTATGTAATTAGCAAATAACATCTGTGTTAAATAGTAATATATTGTAATAATGTTAATCAAGCCGACTAAATCACATGACTGCGACGTTAATTCTCCATTTTCAGTGTATATTTTAGAAAAAAAAAATAGACATTTTACTCATTAGGCTGCTTCATTAAAAACGTGACATTTAGACATTTTCTTCGGGGTGGATCCAGGCAAATTAATCCTTTTCACCTTGAAAATAATATACATATATATATATATATACAGTATATATATATATATATATATATATATATATATATATATATATATTGCATTTTAAATAATAGAACATTTCTCAGTGATCGTAAATAAAACAAAATTCCATTTTTCTCGGTTTAATGAAAACCTGACATCAACACATTTTCCAAAGTGGACTATTTAGGCTGCTTCATTAAAAATGTGACAAGACGTTTTCTTCGGCGTGGATCCAGGCAAATGAATCCTTTTCACCTTGAAAATAATAAAAAAAAAATTTTTTTTTTTTTTTTATTTTTTTTTTGCTTTTTAAATAATAGACCATTTCTCAGTGATCGTCAATAAAAGAAAATTCAATTTTTCTCGGTTTAATGAAAACCAATAGGTCGTGATGGTAGGGGAGACCAGGGACAGTTGTAACACTTTTTGCAATTTTTAGCAATACATCAAAAACCATTTATACTGGAATATCCAATTTGTTATATTATAAACTTCAATCAGTCTACTGCTGAAACAATGTATTAAAGTGGTTTTATGAAATATGTATAGGTTGCAAAATTAATTTCAATATAGTATCTCCACTGTTACAACCGTCCCAGTGTACAGGGACGGTTGTAACATATGTCAGGGACGGTTGTAACATGTCTAAAATATAGGCTACATAATGAATTAAATGATATAACCTACTCAAAATGGAAAATATTATGTATCAGTCATGTTATTGTGACTATTAATTTATCCAGTATCCAACTCTGAGAAGTGTCTTTGATCCCTGACTCCTCTTCTTGTGGAATCGGTGCAGGGTCACATGGCAAATGTCATATGATGACATTTTACATTTAATTTGCTATGCACAATGCACATTTTACTTTTAATTTGCACATTAAATGGAAACTATGCAGGTTTTTTTTAAACTTAATTAGTTTTTAAAATATAAACGAAACTTGGTTGGTGATACAGGGACAGTTGTAACGGGGCGTTACAACCGTCCCAGTATCACCAACCATGTTTTCATCTCATGTGAGCTAGCTTGACTGCTAGTTTGACACTTGTTAGCCATTTCTATTTTTAGCTGAAAAAACAGTGATTCTAATAATACTTGTTTGAATTAATACAATTTTTATTTTATAACAGCATCCAAAAAAGTACATCAGAAAGAAAAGTAATTTTTTTACCTCAAAAACAACCTTTTATTGATAACTCTGCCAGAAAGTTTCAACTGTAGCTCCCTTTTGGAAAAAAATGGTGGGAAACTACCTGAGCATGAGCAGAGTGAGTCTCATCACTCTAGGTTGTTTCTGATTGGAGGAATTCAAAGTGTTACAACCGTCCCTTGTTACAACTGTCCCTGGTCTCCCCTAAGTTTTAAGTGTAAGTTTCACGTTTGAGGGGGTTTAAACCGTGACATCTACACGTTTTCAAAAGTGGACCAACGTGATTATTTCACGTCTTGTCACCATACCGGGTTGAAGAAATATTGTTTAGGCCACTTTTGTTTGATATAATCACAACAATTTAACGCAAGTGTGGGAATTGACCTCAGGTCTACTTGATTAAAGCCCAACGCTTTATCAACTGAGCCACTGAATCTGTTGAGTTCAAGGTTGTATTGGACAGGGTTTTATTGCAGGTTTGG